GGCTTCTGTAGGGTTTAGGGGTTTAGGGTTTAGGGGTTTAGGATTTAGGGGTTTAGTTTTTAGGGGTTTAGGGCTTTAGGGTTTAGGGTTTAGGCTTTTTGGGGTAATTATGGGGTTTAAGCCATAGACTTTAGACCTCAAGTCGTGGATCTTGTAACCCCACTTAAACACCTTCCCTGAACCTCCAAGTTGTCCCAACACCAAAAATCCTAGCCTCAGCCCCTCAAAATCCTTAAACCTTTATAGACCCCAAACACTAAACACTAAACCCTTAACCCCTGAAACACCCTACCCATGACCCTCCAAACATCTCCCAGCCTGCCCAGCTCCAGGTCAGTGGCAGCGCGCCCTGCGCCTCCTCCGCAGCGTTTCGACTTCGAGGGGACCCCTCTCGACCGTGGCGACCTTCGGCGTAAGGTTTGGGGTTTAGGGGACAGGGCTGACATGGTGTGGGATTAATGTAGGAAGACTAAGAAACCTTGGGTCTTTGTAGGTTTTTAAAGGATGAACCCCAATCTAAACCCCTAAACTAAACCCTAAACCTAAACCCTAAACCCTAAACCCAATATATTGGGGTTGGAGGACCAGGGTTTGATAGTCAGGTTCCTACATTATAGGGCGTATCAGGTTTACAGAGTGTAGGGCTTTGTGAGTTTGCAAGGTTTATCGGGTTTAAAGTTACAGGCCAAAAGCTCGACCTCAGGTTTCAGCTTAATGTAGGGGAGATAGGGTTTAGTTTCGGGCTTAGGGTTCATCATAAGCTTCGCGGCTTGTTGGGTTGCAGGGGTTGTTCATTCTAGAGTTCGGGTCGTTTTCGGGGCATGTTCCGATAGCTTGCTTCTGCGAAACTGTCGTAGTTTCCCTTTCCTGTCCTGCAAGCCAGGGATCAGAGTACCAGGCATACACCTCTAGATAAATTCTGAACCCCTAAACCTAAACCCTAAACCCTGCACCCCACAACCCTAAATCTTCAATTTTCGCTGAGGTACAATGCTGCCCTCAGTGCGTGCGAAGGGGCAGACCGCTGGGAGGCAGCAAAGGGCTGCCCGTTCACTCGGATTCCGTCAAGTCTTCCGAAGCGAAGGGACCCCTCAGACTGTCTGAAGGGCTTGGGGTTTAATGTAGGGGCCTAACAATTACCAATACTATTTTGGGGGCTCCTTATTATAATTATAGTATAATGGGTCCCAAAACCCCATTCTAATTAGTCGGGCCCCTGTATTAGGCTTCATATGCGGTTTCTGACTTGCCATGGCAACTGAGGGGCTTTGGGTTTGGGGCATCGGGTTTAGGGTCTGGGATTTTGGGTTTGGTTCAGGGTTCTGTACCAGCCGCCCATGTTTAGCCTCTATAGAGGCATAGAGCCCCTTGGGGTTACTTTTGTGTGAGTTCCTTAAAGGGTTAAAGACAGGTTCTAATAACGCTCCTATAGGGTTTAAGCTTGGGGGTTTGCAGTTTGGGATTCAGAGTTCAGGGTCTGACCGCTTCATGTTGGGGCGTAGGATTAAGGGTCTCATATCTCAAGGTGTCATGACTGCATCAGAGCGCTGTTTAAAACTCACGTCCCTTTGTCGCGCTTGTCTTCTTGTGTTTCAAGTGGGGCTTCTGATTCAGAGCAGCCCCCCCACCGAGTTTGTGACATCGTCATGTGAGGCTGCCTTGGCTTTGTTCGCTGAGCTTCCGCGGCAGGCGCCTAAACCCCAACATCCGAAAAATCCTAAGCTCAAAGCCTTGAAACCTCAAGGATTACGTACGGCTGAACACATGGGCTGATGGGTACAACCACTCCACTACAGATCCTTGTTGAGGGTTTTTGGGCGCGCCTGATCCAGCAAAGCTGTTCGTTGCTGTGGCGGTTGGAACATATATTATTCTATATCTATAATAAGGAACCTCCCAAAAGTAAAAACAAAAAATGATGCCCTTATAACCCCCCAAAAAATATAGGTAGTTATTGATGCCCCTATATTGCATTGTGTTTTGCCTGAGCCTTCACTTGTCAGAACCGACTCTGACCTCCCGACGCCGAAACCCCAGACCTGAGACCTCAAACCTCGACTCCTGCACCTCCCTAAGGGTCCATGTACTCATATAGTTAGGGACTACTTTAAGGCCAAAGTATCTACCATTTGGGTACATGGACCCTTAGGGCCTGCTTCTAAGGGGAGAAGGAGCGTCTGGTCCTGATGGATGCAGCAGGTTTCTATAGACTGCTTTTGTCAGTGTGTTTGTCTGTCTGTCTTTCTGTCTGTCTGTTTGTCTGTCTGTTAACATCTATTTGTCTGTCTCTGTCGGTCTGTCTGAATGTATGCATGCATGCATGCATGCCTGGACACATGCATGCGCAGATAGACAGATATGGACATCGATGCGCGCGGTTCGCAACCCTGCTTATCATTACCACCACACCTGTACCCAGAGACCGTAAAAAGGTAACGATTCCATGAACTTGTTGATACGACGCACATGCTAGGTATCGACAAGACAGTCACTACGCGAAGGGCACAGCACGCGCACCTCTACTCCGCTCATGCATACGAGCAATACCGTTACCCTAAACCCTAAACCCTAAACCCTAAACCCTAAACCCTAAACCCTAAACCCTAAACCCTAAACCCAAATGTAATTCTTTATGACAAAGATGCCTGTATGAAAGTAGAAGCAAGGCCGCCTATGCACACGTAACATGTAACTACGATCATGAGTATCGCTGTCAACATACCATTGTGTCTGAGCCTGTCAGATCTCAAGCCCTAAACCCCAAACCTCAACCCTAAACCCCAAACCCCAAACCCAAGCCCCAAAAACCGGAAGGCACTTCGCCTCAGCATCATCACCTGCAACGCTGCAGCCAGTGCTTGCGCTGAAGGACAGCTCTGGCAGGCTCGTTGGACGTCGAAACTCCAAAGCCCTTTAACCAGGGAATATACTTTATACTTATAATATACTTTAACATAATATAAATAATGTAAGATAGTTAATATGATATGGTTTAATACGAGCATCCGCTTCAGGGCTTTCAGGCGTAGAGCTGCAAATTGTGTTCCAGGAAGTCCTGGACACAAGTTCTGCACGAACGCCCTCTCTCGTGCGTGCCGCAGTGGCAAGCGCTACGTTTAGGAATACCTTCATCGGCTTCCTTGGAACAGAGAGCTGCAATCGTCTAAACCCGTCGCATGGGACCTTACTCGCAGGCTCCTGGGTTAGTATAAGTCTATCAGTGGAGTTTTGAGTGGGGTAGCCGCATTTATGACCAAGACTAGGGGATCGTGCAAGCAAAAGAAGGTAGCAGGGCAGCTCTGCATGGAGCTCTGATTGCACTGAAGGGGAACATTTTCTAGCAGTGTTCCCTACAGTGGCTATGGAACAGTAGTATAACATTGTGTAATTAATGTAACATGATAAGAATATACAATGTATGTAATATAAAGAGATACATACGACTACATCCTGATGTAGTATACAACCCCCCTCCCAAACAAAAAAGCTCTGAAGGCCCTCTATACCCCTAAACCCTATAAACCCTGAACGTTAAACCCTATAAACCTTAAGCCCTATAAGCCCTAAGCCCTAAACCCTAAACCCAAAACCCATACTCAAAAATCCGTGCCAGGAGGCTCTGGCACTTCTCCAGCTTTGCCAGGCCCAGGGGGACCGCCAGGAGTTTGGAGAAGGTTTAAATTTAAAGTCTAGAGTTTGGGGTTTAGGGAGTTGGGGTTCAAAGTTTAGAGTTCGAGATTTAGGGAGTTGGGATTGAAAGTTGAGGGTTTGGGGTTTAGGGAGTTGGGGTTTAAAGTTTAGAGTTCGTGGGGTTTAGGGTGTTTTTTCGGTTAGGGGTGGTAATGCTTTAAGGTTTAAGGGGTGAGGATTGAGGGTGTTAGGGTTGTTTGGGACTTAGGGCTTCGGGTTCAAGGGTTCGGGCATGTTAAGGGTTTAGGGTTTAGCGTTTAGGGTTGTTGAACCTAAGAGCTTTTGTGCCGGGTTCTGTTTACAGTAAGAACCCGGCCCTATGACAGGAGTTTGTATAGAGGCTGTACGCTTGATATGGCTTTCTTCCCTGCGATGACCCCAGGGTGATTTTCTGGGCTTGCTGCAGCTACCTAATCCAAAGGTCATGGGATGCCAGATGCAAAGACGGGGACCTTTAGGGTTGAGGGTTTAGGGTTTAGGGTTTAGGGTGTTGGTTATTACTATGCCTTTTCTCTGGCTATGTCATATGGGGGCTACAAGGGATTTTCATTACTAGGACTGTCTTTGTTGTGATGGTTGCGGTACTGCAAGTCTTATAGTTAACTATTCCTAACCCCTAAACCCTAAACCCCTAAACCCCTAACCCCCAAACCCCCAAACCCCTAAACCCCTAAACCCCTAACCCCTAAACCCAAAAACCCTAAACCCTAAACCCTAAACCCTATTCCGAATCTATGGTGTTGCTAAAGCCAAATCAATTCTGGGCTCTTCAGGCCGAGCCACCTTTGACTCCCAGACCCTCAGCCCGAAAGTGCCGCTGTCATAGAAGCTGAGGGTTTTAGGGTATAGGGTTTAGGGCTTTAGGGTTTACGGGTTTTAGGGTTTAGGGGTTTAGGGGTTTAGGGATTTTAGGGTTTAGGGTTCACAGCACACCGTTAGACTCTCTCATATTCTCAGAGCATATACAGACGCCTATGCAGCTACTCACATACATCCATCCCTGCATGCATACATACATACATACATACATACATACACACATACATACATACAAGCAAGCAAATGCAGGCCTTTTCCTTTGGGCCGTCCTGTCGCGCAGGCAGACTCCCTGGAAAGCAGCCTGGTCACTCACAATGCCTGCATCAGCGCGTGCCAGCGCTTTTGTGGCAGTTTGGGAAGGGTTTGTTGATGCCGAGCCCTTTTCTACTTATTCACGATTCTATACCTCCCAGTTTTGCCTCACGGCCATATGGTGACAAAGCTAGAATTCCCTGTAGTTAAGGTGCGGAGGCACGGACCCTCGTGGCAACAGTTGAGCTTGGCTTTTCAGGCTTCTCACCTTTGAGGTGTTGTTGGGTCATTTGATGCAAAAGGTGGGCTTTCCCAGCCCCCATCCCTAAACCTTAAACCGTTATTTAAGGCTCCGGGCAGATGGGACTTCATGTGCTTGAACATCCACGAAGCTGTGACCCAAGGCGTGCGGCGCACTGGCCGGGAGCTGTGGCCTTGCTACGTGGCCTTGCCGTGCATGGCTTGGAAGGCTTCTTGAGGGTTTAGGAATTAGGGATTAAATTAGGGTTTAGGGATTCGAATTAGGGTTTCGGGTTGAGAGACATGGGCGGAATTGCATTCCTGATAGCATTAGTCTTGTATGTAGCGGGTGTAGAAACAACACGCAGTGTGCGACGGAGGTGCAGAAGCAATTCCAGACGACACGCGTTCTACTTCACAAGCAGATAGGCTTACCACTTTCCCAAACACTGCACCCTATTTACCCGATTTTGTCATCCTAAACCCTAAACCCTAATCCCCTAAACCCCAAACCCTACACAGTACCTAAACCCTAAACCCTAAGCCCTAAACCCTAAACCCTGAACCCTAAAGCCTAACCATCCTAGACCTTTTCTTGTTCGAGTGAAGGACAGCCCTGAACCCAACAACAAAAACTCAATGCAAACCTGCATGCAGACCCCTGATTACGTCGTGAACCCACCTCCATGACTACGGATTTTAACAAGGATTCAGGCCCTAGAAGACATGAGGTTTAGTATTCAGGGGTCTACAGTCTTGAAATTCTAGCAGAATATCCCTCACAACCCTGGTCTAATTATAAAGGCCATTTTATTACCCTATCTTACCCCGAGACTCCAAAACCCCTTCATTAGGGAGTATACCTTAAATCTTATTGGGTTGCTATCATAATTAAAAGTATTTCCCTTACTTATGGGGTTTTGGAGTCTCTGGGTACTAACCCTAAACCCTAAACCCTAAACTCTAAAACCCTAAAAGACACAAAATTCGAAAGGCGACCTGCTGTCCTTCAGCGGCGCCTTGGCCGCCAGCAGTCGTCACTGGCCGAGCCATTGCAGCAAATGCCAGGGACAAGCGAGATGTCACAGGGTTTAGGGTTTAAGGTCTAGGGGTTTGGGATCCTAAACCCCAGACCCTAAACCCTAGGTTTAGGGGTTTGGGACCCTAAACCCTAGACCCTAAACCCTGGGTCTAGGGGTTTGGACTGAAAAAAGGTTACATAAAACCCTGAAGCCCTAAACCCTAAAGGCTAAACCCAAAACCGGAAGGCTTTCAGCTCAAGGCGACCCTCACAAGCCTGAGCCCTAACCTCTGAACTCGAAGTTTTTCAGCCCCAAGTCTTAACCCCTTTGCCGCCTTTTTTTGAGCTCAGGGTTTAGGGTTTAGGGTTCAGGGTTTAGGGTTCAGGGTTTAGGGTTCAGGGTTCAGGGTTGAGGGTTCAGGGTTCAGGGTTTAGGGTGCAGGTTTTAGGTTTGCGGGGGTTTAGTTAGGGGAAGTCTAAGCTCTTGTGGAATGAAAGCTTTCAGGACAGCGCTCTCGCTTCTCTCTGATGCATCCGCCACCAACCTCGAGGCAACCGCAGCAGACCCAACCGGGCTCGGGGCTTGCCATGATTGTTTGTATCACGTTAGTTCCCCAATACCCAACCTTTAATGTTTTGGGTTCCTATAATTTAGTAGTAATTCTGAAAGTTTAACCTTTTAGTTCCCTGGCTTAGTGGGGAATAAGTCACTCGCTTTTGTTGATAATGGTTGAATTGTTGTTGCTCTTGGTATCGCTGTAATTAGCGACTTCTCTTCTTTTATGTTATTCTTGTAATCTGTTGTTATTGATATCATAACCCCTGGTACCATTGCTTCTGTCAGTGCTACCCGGATTACCATGACGAAGGCAGACCTGCTATCGTACTCAAGCCCAACATAATGTGCCATGGTTATTTTATAATTAATGATGATAGCTCTGTGGTTTTCCTTCAAGCCGTCGTTTAGTTCTGTTCTGGCAATCCCAGCAAGCCACGGCAACACTATGCTCTCCGGGGTTTTAAGGCTAAAAGCTAAAACGGAAGCACTCATTAGCCGTGTACATCCTAAAAAAAAGCCGGCACTCCGAAGTTTAATTCAAGGACCTTGATCATTCGAGAGTTTTCGGGTACCTTGTCTTATATTGCAAGCATAAGACCCCGATATCAGAGGGCTTTCATGGGTATATCATACTACAAAATAGAATAAGGAGCCCCCAAAATAGCATAGGTAATTAGTAAGGCCCCTATATTTTGTCCTTCAAAGGACTAAAGGAGGGACCCTTAAAGGGACCCTTGGGGTTATATAGGGGCTTTATTAGGGGTATATAAGGGTTATATAGGGTATATGGATTAGGGGTCCCTTCTGAGGGTCCCTCCTATTGTCCCTTGAGTCCTGAATCTTCAAGCGCCAGGTTGATGTCCTTGCCTATGCCGCTGCCCTGAACGTGACTTGGCTGCACATAGCTGGCCTTGGTGGCACTACAGCGAACCCTAGAAAGTTGGAACATGGGGTTAGGAGGATTAGTGCTAGGATCCCTTATACTTCACCTTAAAAGGAATAAGGATTACAATGTTTCAACTTTATGGCTTCTACTGTAGAAATTGATTCTTGTCAACTTGTGGTCCGTGTCCTTTGAGATGAGTTGGCCTAGAGTTCAAAGCTAGTCAAGTCTGCACATGGTCACTCTGGAGCTACAACTTATCGGCCATAAAGGATACATGCCGAGCAGTAGACACTAAGCTTTCACCCCCCTTTAATAAACCCCATTAACCTCCGCAGCGCAGCAACAATGAACTCAAATCCTTAAGCCTTGCTGCGTTTGCAGCCTTTTTGGTATTGCCGAATGCCAAGACATTGCAAGGAATAGTATTGTGAGCACGGATTCAAGCGGCTGCAGCTGAACCTCGAGGACCTCCGAAAAACCTACAGTAAACCCACGCAAGACACAAGCTGCTAAGAAAAGCTCTCTGCAGACCTTTAAGGTTTAGAGTTGACAGGGATTAGGGCGATTCAAAACCCTGAAACCCTCAAGCAATATAGGGACCTAAATAAATACTTAGACCAGTTTTGGGGGCTCCTTATTATGTTTATAGTATACTGTACCCCAAAACCCTATTCTAATGATCAAGCCCCTACCGTAGCTCAGCCTTAAACCCTGAACCCTAAACCCTAAACCCTAAACCCTAAGCCCTAAACCCTAAACCCTAAACCCTAAACAGAGGCCTTGGAGGCCTCCGCGCAAACATTGCCTCTCCTAGCCATGCTGTCGAGGCAGACCCGGGCTGGTTCGGATTTCGGGGTTTTGGGTTGAGGGTTTAGGGGTTTGGGGTTTAGGGTTTAGGGAGTGGTTTGGATTTAGGGGTTTTGGGTTCAGGGTTTAGGGGTTTGGGGGTTAGGGTTAGGGTTTAGGGGTTTTGGGTTTTGGGTTCCGGGTTCAGGGGTGACCCGGACTGGTTTGGATTTCGGGGTACTTGGGGTTTAGGGGTTGGGGGTTTAGGGTTTGGCGTTTAGGATTTGGGGTTTAGGGTTTAGGGTTTAGGGTTGGGGTTTCGGGATTAGAATACGGTCTTGGGGCCCAGTATACTATGATTACAATAAGGGAGCCCAGAAAAGTATTGGTAATTGTTGAGGCCCTTATATTACAGGGGTTGGGGTTTCGGGAGTTCAGGATTTGAGTGTGTAGAGTTTATGGCTTGCGGATTCGGCGTGGTCGGCTCGGGGGTCTGGGAAATAATCGCCAAAGTTGTAGTCGTAGCGCTTTAGGGTTTAGGGTTTAGGGTCTCTCGACTGAACCTCCAAAAACTCCCAAGCCGCAAGAAACCTAAGCAGCACGCGGTAATCGAAGAGCATAGCGAGGAGGATCCTCGAGCGCGAATGCGTCTGCGTGCGTGTGCAGAGCCGCCCTTGCTTAGGGCTTAGGGATTCGTGGGCCTTGGGTAGTTATCACGGTTATGAGTCCCGCAATACAGCTCAGAAATACAGCCATCCCGAACACTGCTAAACCCTAAAACCCTAAAACCCTTGTTATAATCCCACTTACAGCCACCCATGAACTTCCAAGTATGACTTGCCAAGATCGTCGCCTGATTCAGTTCGCGCCCTAACCTGAACCCTAAACTCTAGCCTACAGCCCTACACCTGCTTAAACCCTCAACCCTTAACCCCAAACCCTGATAGCGACTTTATCGGAGACCTTATACAAAAAGGCAACCCCTCTAAAGGAACCCTTGAAGTGCCCTTAAACCCTAAACCCCTAAATCTTACCCTACACCCCTAAAGCCCTGAACCCTAAACCCCTTAACCCTAAACCCCTAAACCCTAAAACCCTAAACCCCTAAACCCCTAAACCCCAAACCCCTAAAGCCCTAAACCCCTGAACCCAAGAGTTTCGGCGAGGTTGGAGAGCCGCGGGCTCTCTGGCAGCCGATGGCTCGGAGGAAGCTCCCACTCGCGCTGACGCGAAGGAAGGCACGGCGGCCAGGGGTGTAGGGCCGTAGGGTTTAGGGTTTAGTCTAGGGCTTAAGGGCTTTAGGGGTATAGGGCCTTTGGGTTCAGGGTTTAGGGCTTAAGGGCTTGAGGGCCTTACTTGTAGGCCTGTAGTATTTAAGGGCCTACGGTTTCAGGGTTGAGGGTATAGGGATTAGGGTTGCTACTATAGTGACTGCTCTGAAGGTTTCAATAATGGTTACTACCTCCTTTACTGTAAAGGTTACTATAAGTTGGAGTTGCTGCACGGGTTTCGAAAAGGGGCAACTATGAGGGGTTCCTATAAGGATTATCATACGATTCCCATTGCGGCTGCTAGAAGCGTTCCAAAACGGGTCACACTGCAAAGGTTTGTTTCAGGATTGCTATAAGGGCTGTTGCAGGGGTTACTATCTAAGGACTTTAGGAGGGACCCCTAATAGGGACCCTTAATCCCATTACCTTATATACCCCTTATATAGCCAGGTAGTCCCCTTATTAACCCCACTAGCCTACAAGGGTCCCTATTAAGGGTCCCTCCTAAAGCCCTTAGATACTATCTAAGGGCTGTATAAGGTTTTAGATTTGAGGCCTAGTCAGGCTCCTGGGGTTTAACCCTAAACTCTAAACGGCCCTAAACCCTTTAGATTTACGGCTGAAGGCTTCTGGGATATGGGTAGTTCTCTAAATTAGGGTCCCTTTTGGAGTTGTTTCTGTAAGGGTGCCGTACTGTATGGGGATCCAAAAAGGGACCCTAATTTAGAGAACTACCCATATGAGGCCCCTAAAAAGAAAACCCGCAATCCCAAAGCCAAGCCCATCAGGCGAAGTCGCCCGATCCCTTGGAGCAAGGAGCTGGCGGGCAGAGGCCCAAGCTTTGTGTGGGCTTTAGGGTTCAAAGTTTAGACGCTAATCAACCCCTGAACCTCCAAACTCTAAACCCCTTAAACTCTAAACCCCT